ACTTGGCACCGCCGCCGCATCCCGCGGCCGCGGCTGCGGTCCAAGCACAGGCGCAAGCGCTGCTGAAACCTGCCGATCTACAACAGCATCGCGCGGCCGCGGAGACACCCGAGGATCGTAAGCCGATCGCTCTGCCGGACGAGAGGCTCGGCCATCGCTCGGTCTCTCCACCTGAGAAATTTCGCAGCCGCACACCCGACCTCGAGAGCGACCCAAAGAGGCGGAAGGAGGAGAAGCTAGGACATGTGAGTACCATTACCGGCATTGACACCATCCTACCGCCACTTTCTCGCGCGGCGGCAACGTCGTCGTCGTCGTCGTCGTCGTCGTCGTCGTCGTTGTCGTCACGATGCCCCGATGTGCTCGAATCGATCGGCAATTCGATCGGACTCGATGTTTTACATTCCATTCTTACCATTTGATCTATCAGATCTTTTTAATTTAAAATTCTATTCTATATTTTATAAATTAGTAATCGGATTTTTATTTAATCCTCCAGAACTGACGGTATGTTTATTGAGATCATTTAATTATAAATCTCTTTGTCAAAGAATTTAATTTTCGTTATGTATAAACTAATGTATAGCCTACGTAAGTTTTTAAAGAGATGTTCTAGGAGATGTCCTTAGGACATAGAACACCTCTGACCGTTTTTAAAATGTCATTTGGAGAACTGTAGTTTATTCGAAATATACAGTTATTCCGAAATCCGCGAATCACAACATATCACAATTGGAAAGTTTTCGAAAAATTGAATAAAAAAGTTATGTGTACATCTTTATTTCAAGTAATAGTTTTTCAAATACAAAGATTTAAATACCAATTACAGCGATTATTTTTAGATGACCACTTATCATGAATCGCGGTATTAGTAATCGTGCTCTTTAACATTTAAACGAAATCCATCTAAACGTAGTCCGTAATTAACCATATTTAAACCCTTATTATTTTACAAACTACTTAAATATTTTACAAACTTGCTTAAAATAAAAATTTATAAATAACTTTTTTACCTTAACCTTTGAAAACAATCTTATTGTGATATTTTGATTCGCGAACATTTCCGGACATTCTGTATACTTAATATTCATTTCCTTTTTTATGAATTACATCTTGATTCCTTTAATTAATGCTTTTTAATTAATATTAATTTAAATTAAATGGATCTTACAGATTAGCGTTAGTAACTGTATTACAGATTTTGTCAGCTTTGGAAGGTTAAAATGAGTTGTAAAGTTATAAATTGTTGGAAGCAGAGCGCTCTGTAATTTCACGAAAATCGACTTTTCCGTTTGAGACTGTACTTCTTCAGCTGTTGAAAGTAGAAGAAAAAGTCAACGCATCGGTAACGCAGATGCGTGCTGTTGCATTGAATATTATTTATTGGTCAGTGCATACTTAACTATAGAGAGACTCGGCGTCGAAAAAGTTGCGCGTTACGGCGGAGGACGCGTTTAGCTGAGAATTAAAATACTAATTGCAGCGACGTCGAAAGCCGATAAAACGGCCGACACTCTCGGCAATCAGGAGCGAGGGAGAAGGGCAAAGGGTGGTAGAATAAAGAGAGCGCGCGCGTTATATCGCTGGAAAGTAAACGTAAGAGTAATAAAAGGGCTGAGTTAGAATCGAGTTCGAGCCGTGCGATAAAGGATAGGAGAGGCTTCGATACTAACTTCCACTTAACCATCGAATTCGCTATAAAAAAAAAAGAGGGAGAGAAAGAGAAGAGGATGGAAGTATGCTCGATAGTCTCGCGTGCCGTCTATGTCGGCCTCTCTTCAGCAGGAGCGAGCGTCCCAAATGCAATCATGCGTCGCGGAAGTTTCCATCGAAATCGGATTACCCTCGTTCGCCGCAAAGGCGGAAAAAAGGACCCGGACTTCCTGGCCGGTCAAGAACCTGTACCGTATAACCGTATAACCCGCGAGAGTTCTTCCGTCTGTTAAGTCGGGCGATCGTCTATTTTGCTTAACATCTATTCTGAAATGAAGTTCCATGAAAGTGTGTTTCTCTGTCCTGAATCACAACGACAAAAAAGTGCGCGAGCTCCTCTCCAGAGGCACGAACGCGGACTTCAGGGCAAAAGAGGGCGCCGACGGAAAAGGGGCGGGTGTATAATTAAAAACCGTGAAAACAGGCGAACAGTTAGCCGGGTCGTCGTGCGCGTACTAACTAAATTGGATTATTTTTCTCAGCTGCTCCCTTACCTCCTTCGGCCGCCTCACTTACCCTCTCTTCATCTCTCTTTATCTTGTTCTGCTTTTTTCCGGTTCTGTTATTTTCTTCTTTCATATTTTTTTTTACACCGATTAAGGCGTTTCTACGCAAATTTATCAGCCAGCCATGTTGATACCATCAATATTCTTTTTTTTTCTCACGCGATCGTATTCGTTGATTTGCATTAATTATTTATTTAAAAGACGTCATAAAATCGTTGAGAAACGTGATCTATTATACAGGATGAGTCGCGTAATTCCAATGAGTTATACCTCCTTCATGGTTGATAATAGGAAAAAGTGGCAAAGGAAAAAAACTAAACGATTTAATGATGCCTGATTTCTTATGAAGTTACCGTTCTCGTATTGCATGACTCACTCCTCTAGATGCGGGTGGAAGAAGAAAGTAAATTATCCACGAAATAAATACGCTAATAATATATAATAAATAACTTTATTAAGCAATATTTTTGAACATAATCTTAAATTGAAGAAAGATGAAGAATATAATACGGAGCAAAACTATAAACTATTTTCTTCGTCCATTTGCCCTTTCAACTATCGAGAAACGTATTTCCCAATAGTTCTTCGCCACGTTCTGATGACTTCAGACCACCACTGTTAAAATTACTTCTCGGACAACCGTGTAGTTGTCGCGGCCAATTGTCGCGGCCAAGCTACTGGGTGAAAATCAAGGAATCGTGGGCGACTAGCATCTTGCCTCCAGCTTTCTCTGCGTTCCCTTCCAACCATGCTTTCGTATTATCCTTCGTTCTTTCTGGATGTACTAACGATGCGTCGTTTACACGGGCAATCCCTTCAGTCCCAAGAGTGCTGAGAAGTTTGTTTGAAGTTGAGGCACTGGACAGATCTGATCATCAGCTGCATTTCCCCGCACAACCGTGAGTTAACTTAAAATCATGATAAATAGAAAGCAATTTTAATGAAATTACAAAATTGTTATTATAATGTAATGATGTTACAAAAAGACAATATTATATTATTATTTAACAATTTATAATTATTAGATAATGTAATTGTTAGAATATGAAGAATTCTATGTACATTCCATTTTTTAATAATCATCATAATATAGAATTACAAAAATATTTATATTTTTTAACAAGATTTAGGTGTCAAAATAAAATATTTTTACAACGGCTCTGTCAATCGATTTTTTTCGCGATTGATATTCTCATAATTAATCTTTTTACTTATTTACTTACGAATTTTTTAATTTTTTTATATTATCAGAGAAAATTATAGTAAATGTTTTATATATTGAAATCTTCACTTTTTACTTATTGTATACTTATTGAAATCCATCACATTGAAATCGCGAACACATCTCCCTAGTACAGAATAACATAATCAAGAATGCGAACGCAACATCGTATCCGGTCGTATGCATATAATTCACGAGAAGATTGACGAGGACGAAAAGAGAGAGAGAGAGAGAGAGAGAGAGAGAGAGAGAGAGAGAGAGAGAGAGAGAGAGAGGTGGGAGGAAAGAGAAGGGGAACGCATCCGGAAATGAGTTTTCGTTCGTGTCCACGCTTAGGTTCTTAGGACTGCCGTGTTTCGTACCTACATGTGCACGCCGAGAGAGGATTAGTCGTAGCTCAGGACACCACTACCACTATCTCTCTAACCCCTTTGCTTCATCCCCGAGGAAGCATTAATCAAAGGAGCAACCGTATGCCCTGTTTCCGTCGCGACGAAAGCTGCTGCCGGTTCCCCACATGAAATCGCTATATCGCGGAAAAGGAGTTTATTTTGTCTTACACATATCGAAAATACAATCATGCAAATCGAAAACTTTCAATGATTATTTTACATTATTATTATTTTATGTTTTCTTAAGTTTATTTAAGTTTATTTAAATAGACAGGTGACAACATTACATGCATAATTATCTTGCTAATTTTGTTCTGAAACAGGAAGACAAAAAATATTGCTCATTAGTTTTTTACATTTTATCATTTCATAAGAATATAAATAATGTAAATTTAATTTTGATAATATTCTTGAGACTTCCGCGGGTGCTTTCTATATAAAGATTATGCGTTTCGCGGGTTTTCTCTGTGTTCAGATCCATTCTTGGAATGTCAACGTTTCGTGAAGTCCACTTGCAGTCCACTTCATCAGAGCGAGGAGCAGCCTGATCCTGAGCTGCTCCTCCGAGTCGTTCCTTTTATATAAATGTAAATTTAACTTTATTTTTTATATATGCTATTAAAAAATATATTATAAAATTTTGTTTAGGTTGTTCTGAGTACCCACACCTATCTATTTAAAAATTCAAATCAGCGATTAATTTTAATTCAAGTGTATAAAAAATGGCTTCAATTTATGCTTTCAATTCAGCTTTCAATATGTGTGTGATTAGTTTCTCGTGTAAAAATAAAATATAATAACTTATTATATTGCAGTATAAAACTAATCACATACACATATCGAAATCATTTTTTACATACACTTGGATTTACAGTATTAAGTAAAAATATATATGTTATTTGTGTATAGGTTTTTATCTATTCGATATCTATTATAGCTGAGAAAAAGGATCTATTTGATGCCTTTGTGACAACATTTCGAGAATAGTGTATCTAGTTCCCGATTACTGCTTTATTTGGTATAATTACTCCTACCGCGTAAATGGAGAGATTGTGTCTGAATGTCTGACTGTGACCTCATTTTCTCGTAATCGTCATCCCGGCCGGTTGTCACTACTACGGCGCTACTACATTGTAAAGCGAGGAGAGGCAAAAAAGATTCCCGATAAAATCCTGGGATCTACCTCGCACGCCCGCGGCGGTCTCGGTAATGCGACGGAGCATAGTGCTCGTTGTGAAATAACGTTTCAAAAGCGTGTCGGATGGCAAAGTGCATTTTTCATAGCGGTCGAAATGAAATTGAAGACGGAAAATCTCAAACGTGTTAAATGGTGAAATTTTCGCGAGAGAGACACGTGCTGCTGCATGATGAAAAGTAACTTCAGCTAGGTGCTAGAAGTACCTAATTAATCG